AATATCCAAAAGAGGAAAGTAGCTAAACATTTGGGACCATGCATGCTAAATTCTCATAGTCATAAATGATGATAGTAGGGACAAATTCATGTAAGAAAATTCTAATATTTTCTTTGAATAAATTTTTTGTTACAAGAAATTCACCATTAGAAACCAGTTAATTTTTCAATGAAAACAAAAAAAAATCAGAAAGAAAGGAAAATAAAAAGTGAAAAGCAGAAAACAACCAAAGTTATTCATTCAGGATTTGAGACGGGCATATTATGCTGGCATGTTTGTGAAGAACTGGCAAAATAAAAAGTTATTTCACTTCAATAACATAATTCTTTGGACCTAAAATCCTTCATTTTTGAATTGAGGCATAAAAAATTTAAAATTTAAAATAAAACAAATTATGCACTCACGGGTCATGATCAGCACACCCATTTGGATGAATTGTGACCCTAGCCTCACAGGCTGAACAAACAAATTCCACATTTTTGAAGTATTGTTTCCCACAACCCCCGTGGCCACATTGAGCTGCTTCTGTTTTGGTTGGAAATGTCTTTGATTTAACACATCGTGAAATGTGATGAAGCATATTCCACACATTGCCAACCAGGAAGGCAAGGCATAATATCAACTTTGACACCTTCCAAATCAGCATTATATGGTTTTGACCTTTTGAAAAAGTAATAAAAAGAAACCCTTTATGGTTAGTTCAGAACAGAAGAATTTATTAATGCAAGTTAAACAAATAGAAAACAAACTCTCAAACCCTTTTGTGAAGATGATATTGATGTTGAAGAATGACTAACTGAGAAGTGTTTTTCAAAGAACTGTGATTTTATACAAATGTTTGTTACTCCTTTTACTTGAAAGGTGGAAGAAAGATGCTGCAGGTCAAAGCACTAAAAATATATATGTTGGCAATTTTTTCTGTTCAAAATAATTTATAAAGCTTAATATTTATCTAATGTAGGATTAATATTTGCTTAGGATCATATAATGGGGGAATAATGTGTGATATGCCAATTGAAGAAAATGATGGCTGGTATTTAACCTAATTGAGGCAGCTGTTTCCAAACTAAGAGACTTGCAATTTGGAAGTAGACAGCAGCCAGCCTATAAAAATTTGTTTTACCAGAACCTTCCCACCATTTTTGAACAAAATATGTACAGATTAACAATACACCAAGGCTAAGTCTGCAAAGAAATGGGTTCCAGCTGTTTCCGGTATGCTTGGGCTGGATAAATAGTTCATGAACTTGATAAAATTAAATCAAAACTAAACTTAATTTGTGCCATGTTGATAGAATCTGACACTTGAAGCTATAGCTCAAACCTAGTTCAGATCCAAAATTCAAGTAATTATTTTCTCTAATCATGTATACATCACTACGTGTGTGCCAGTGTTCAGATGAATTGTCAATCTGAAATATGGATCAGAAGTGTGGCTGGCTTTTTTATGCAAAAACTCCTCACAAGTTCCATGTATAGTTTTATAAAATTAAACAGAATAATTGTGGAGACTAGCTCAATTTTGAATTATAAATGCATGGGCCGATGTCATAAAAAAGAGGACCTGAGTCTCAGATAGATATTTAGAATAGAGATGGCTTCAGGGCCCTGTGAGAAGTTGGCAGAGACCATGAAACAGATACAATAGACTAAAGCATCAGCTGACATTTTTATTTTATCTGTTCTTCTGATACACACAAAATTGGCTATGTTTGGATCAATAGTTGGAATCTGTGGGGAGGAGGGACCACAAGAGGAAGAGGTTTGAAGAATATCAATTTTTACCTTTCAATTCATTCATACAGTGATTCAAGTTTCCTGCACCACAGGTCAGTTTTGACATTTTGACCCTGCAGGATGTGTTGTATTTCCTGCAGGTTTGAAGACAGGGACACACTGAGTAGTTTGTTTTGTCTTCAACAAACATATGACACATGTGTCAATTCAAAAATTCCAAAACAATGTTTTATTATGACACACAGGTCAGATTGGTGGCATGGCTTAACCAGAAAACATTAATTAACGCTGGGAGAAGGGCAAAATTTTGGTGGGTTGGGCTAACCTGAAGACAGTGTTGGCCTGACTGATTTCCCAAACATGTTTTCCCAAGGCCTTCTGGCTATTTGTGTAAAAAGATATGGGATTTGAATCTTAATCCTCATCAATTATCACTTGATCAAGAACAAATTTTAACATTCCACAGAGGCCTTTTATAATATTAGGGGGTATCAAATATAACAAAATCCACCATTATTTAATTGACTGGTTTGAAAAAAATCCACTCTTTTCTAAACATGTTGGTTCTTCATTTAACCCCTTCTGGGACCCCTTGATGCAAAAAAAGTTTTGGAAAAAGTGACTGGTTTCTAATGGTGGAATTTCTATATTTGATACACCCTCGACTTCTGGGAGGGTCCCAGATACAACGGGAAGTCCTCCAATAGTAATTAATTTTCCCTGGTATTACATTCTAAATATCTTGAAAAGGATCTCAAAAGAAGCCAATTCTGTATTCTTTCCTTTTCTTTGGGCTGATAGATAGGAATGTATGTTCAAACCTAGGGGAAATTACATACATTTTTAATTTCAGGTTTCTAGGATATACCTCATATTAGGGGGTACTGGGGAATAGTGTGGCTACCTCCATGTATAGAAATTTGGTCAGTCAATACCACAACCTGAATTTCTACCTACAAACTGAAGATAAAGTGCAGTACCAAGGGGTGGCATCTTGAATGCAATACTGGTGTTGTTCAACAAATGGAGGTTCCTTGGCAGCATAGACACAACAGTGGGCCAGCTATGCTAACCGTAGCATTAGCGTAGTGGAAGAATGCTACAAATCAGTGTAGCGTTAGCACATTTCTAATTTTCTGTGCTAACACTACAAGCACGGGGCACAAAAGTGCGCTAACATTGAGTGTAGTGTTAGTGCGATTCTGCGCATCTGCGCTAACGCTACACGCACAGGGCGCAAAGAAGCACCCTCTATGCTGCGTTACAGCAGTTTTTAGGTGTTTTTTGCCACTAAAAACACTGTGGCATAGCAGCGCGCTAGCACTACACCAAAAAATGGCTAGTGTTAGCTCCGCTGTAAATTAGTGTAGTGCAGCAGCAGTAGCAGCGCGCTAACACTACACAAAAAACAGCAGCCATTGGCGCCGCTACACTAACGCTACATGGGCCCGTAATGTAGTGTAGCTTAGCGGCCCACAGCTGATAAATACAGATTTTGATTTCAATCATTTTAAGAGATTAGTGTGATGAACAGACAAATATAAGATTAGAATTTGAAACAATTATGTGGAGAGATGGGGAGCTCAGAGTATTTGAGTAAGTTTATTTACAGGCATGAATTCTTGATCAGAGGTAGAGGCATAGACCGCAAAGGAGATTGAACAATGACCACGGAATAGGGTTTTAGAAAATGTTAATTTCTATCGTAGATTAAGGTGAATTTGACGGTTTGGTAAACAAACTTGGTATTAATCAATAGAAACCAACACTGGAATAGGATTTGAAGTAAGAGGAATTTAAAAGGGGTGGCAATTGAGCAGCAAGCCAGAAAGTTGAGGTAGGTTTAGGAAAAAATTGCAGGTCTATGAGGAGAATCAAATATTAAGGTTGTGGGCTAGCATGTATTAATGATGATGTTAGTGTACCTAGAAGCTGAATAAGAAATGAGGAAATAAGACTAACTGCTACGAGAACGCTGTATTTGTCAGCCTACGTGATGCCAAGATGGAATATTGTCTAGCTACACGTGGTACAAAACAGCTAAAAGAATGTGGGAATTTTTTTTAATTTAAAGGAATAAATTCCAATGAAATTATGGGATTTTTGATGTAATTTATAGAGAAAAAGCGGCCAATTCTTCTTAAATAAATTTAATAGAAAAACAAAACCAGAGGGGCCTGACAAGTCACGGGTAGTTTAATACCTCTAAGGTATTGTGCAAAAAGAAGAGAATTTAGGTAACTGATACACTGGGGCCTGTAGCAGGTGTAGGTTAAATACCAGGATTAATTTTAAGGGGAAAATCTCAAGAGAAGGGTAATTACTTACTAGTAATAATCCTGTAGGGTCTTGATGATCTTCAGAGCACAAACTGAACAATTAAAGGCACTCAAGAAGGTTCATTTTGGGTTCTGGGTGATAACTGGAGATTTTCTTGAGGATTTGAGGCTTAATAACAGCAATAATAGTAATAACTAGGCTAATTATATACAAGTGTAGGGGACTTGTAAAGGGTAAGTGGGTTTCTATATGATATTGCAAAGCTGGGAGATCACTCCTTGGACGGTCAGAATGCCTTTTAAATACCTGTGGAAGGCGTCAGGGGTTGCCCAGGGGAGCGCTTTTGGGCCCTTTTTGGCCCACATAGTGATGCAAAAAAGGGCTGAAACCTTGGGTATAGTATTCTAGAAGCTCCAAGAGGTCATTCAAGAAATTAATTTAGCCTAGAATTCCATGCGTTGATAAACACACACCCTCCCCCCTCCCGCCCGCCCACGCTGTGGAACTTTTCAAGCTAAAGAAAAGAGCTTAGAGGGGAAAAGAACAACTACACAGGGGAGAATGTGATTTGAAGACTTGGATGCTGATGGAGCTGCCCTCTTTTCAAGGTTTGGGATAGAATTATGCTAATAATTAAAGAAAAGGTGTGGCTATTTCTGTGGGTAATCTTAGTATGAGATTTATTACTGCTGTCTTGTACAAGTCACCTGCTGAGAGATTTAGGATGTGGGGGATTCTGGTAAGGATGAGGCTCTGGGGGATAGTGTTTTCTGGGTTCAATTTCTTATCTTCTGGGGGAAAATCAATAATAATTACTTCTGGTAACTACAGCCATAACGAGAAAGCTTGCGCTTTTGCCAGCCAGAAATTCTGCCGAAAAAATAAAAATAAAAAAAACCCTCGGATGCCGCAGGAATGTTTGGAAGAATACATATCCTGTAATCTTCTGAACATTCCTGCGGCTTCCCTCTCTCAACCGACCCATGGACCCATGCTCCGACCTCGCCCACGAAACCCTGCCACCCCATCCGCCCATCCCCCCCAGGCCCATTTGCATCTTTGTCCACCCACCCAGGCCCCATTTGAAACCGAATCATCAACCGAATCATCAACCGCTGTTCCGAACCCTTCCCATCACTTGTACGGCTGTTACTAATCCGCTAGTATTTTTCTGATCTGTTTGTGTAAGTCCATATCATGTGTAGTTTACTCCTTGTGTTGGTTCATGATTGACGGGTGCCCCTATTCCTTTGCGACAGGCTATGACGCCATTGAAGCACCTCAACAACCTGGACTTGGATGATATGCTCCCCGAGCTGCCCTTCTCAAAGGGGGTTGATAACCGCAAGCCAACCCCCCACGCAGCTGCAGATTGGCGTGCGCACCTGCACGCCATTGCAGAATGGCGTGCAGGCAGGCAAGCCATCTGCCTGCATGCACGCCCAACTTTAGGTCCTAAAAGCATATTTATATGCGTTTAGGACCTGGGCCGTCCCATAGGACCCAGGCATGGGTCCTATGGGACGGCCCCATTTTTCCTTTTTTTTCTCTTTTTTCTTTCTTTCTTTTTTTTCCCCCTTGGCCTAGAGAGGCCAAGGTCACACCGCCGGGAGGAACCCCTCCCGGCGAGCGGTGTACAGTCCAGCGGAAGGGTTTCCTTCCGCTGGACGAGGTACATGTACCTCGTCCATTGGAAGAGCCTAGTCTTCCCGGTCGGGGTCTCTCAGAATAGTTGTAGTAAACTCAGAATCCCATCATGAAGGTACTGTCACTTGATTCAAGCCTACCTCAAAGCCGTAACTAAATGATTGACACGGCTTGCTATGTACTTGTTTTTAGTTTTCACATTCCTTGTTGTTTTCTACGGTTCCTGAATGGCAATCCTATTACGTCTCTTACGATTCATTGAAAGCAACGATCTATAAAATCGAAAAGGATCAAGCGCATGACCAGTACAAAAGTATACATGCAGGCACAGCCACTTGCATGAGTGGCTGATCACCGCCTAGCAACTGCATATTACATCATCCACAAACATTACAAAACCCTGCAGAACACACATCAATTCCTGACCAATCACAAGCACTCATTCAGCCTGCAGCAAACCTCTCACAGGGCTGTACAATTCCAACCAATCACGTTCAACCATTCAACATATGTATTCCTCATGTACCTAGTCACACTGCCTCATGTAGTGCCCCCCTTGGGGCCAAAATACCTCACTCTTGTCTATATAAGGAGGCTCTCCTCCCCCCAGTTGTATCTTTTTTCTTTTCCCCAGCAGAGTACTGCCCTCAGCAGAGTACTGCACTAGTGTTTCCCCTATAACATTACCAACCTGCTCAACCATTAATTATACCCATATATATATATATTTACTTACATACTTACCAACCCTCAGAAATAAACAATTATTACACACTCTCAACACTCATATATAAATACCACCCCTTATTTTTGGAGCCCCTTCATCCAACTTGCACCTGGTTGAAGCCTTGGCCCTCTCAGTACATATTAACTACATATAAATACCTTATTCGACATACCATCCACGGCTCATACGACAGTTATCTTTTGATAACACTCCACTATCACTATATAAACCTGCCAATCTGAGATTGATGGGCTTGTTTTAGTGTCTAGTGAACCAGGAAAGGCAGAGGCAACCTCACACATCCCTTTCCGCACTCAGCAAAAGATTCTCAGGAATACTTTTGAGCTTAACAAGGGAGTCCCCAACGTGATAGAGGATCCTGTCGTTTGGCACGCAGATCAAACATTTGTGAAACACTATAGTGAGAACTAGTAGTGTATTTCAGTTAAAAGTGTGTTAGTTAGAGGCAGGAAACTTACCTGTTTTGAAGAACTGAACAAACCTATCCTGAACAAGCAAAGTTCAAACAAATTTTTTTTACAATAAAGTTCATATATATACCTAGTAGGGTCGGACTAAATAGTTAACTGCTTTAAAAAATCAAGTTATATTAGAAGACGAAAGGGACCGGCTAAGCTGACGTACAAGTAGTAGGATATAGATTTTAACTACAAAGGTGGTAGCCGATAAACTTGTGCGGGCAGACTGTAGTCTAAGACAACTTTTTAAGGATCTGTATAATTGAAGAATAACGGAGTAGCATATTATTTGGTTTTTTTTTGATAAATTTAGTAAAACCCCTCAGCTTGCCCTGGATAGAAACGCCAGAGACCTTAGTTTTTGTTAGTGATATTAAGACTACTATTAGGCAGATATTAAAACTCATTCGATAAGAAAAAGAAAATTGAAATAAGTGAAACTCAGGAATGGCTTTTTCACAAAATCAAGATTTGGAAGGAGCCCTACCAACAACCAACCCACCGTCAACAGGAATATTCTCTGGCAATCAAAATGGTCAAAACATGAATATTGATCCACCACCACCACCGATGAGCCATAATTGCATAAGGAATAACAGGACGTATGGAATTAACCAACACACTCAATCAGCAAACACTTCAAGCGGAAATCGACCTGGACCAGGAGGAAACCTTGGAAATGGAACTTACGGCATACCCGCGGAAAGTGAAGAACCTCAAGAAATGGACGAACCCAGGCCGAGACCTGCGGTTATTATCAAGGAAGCGGACCTCAAGTACGATGGCGAAAACTTTGAGGATTTTTTGGACAGATTCGAACTAGCAGCAGAAATATACGGTGCTGGCAGCTTTGATAAAGCACGTCAGGTGTGTAGATTTGTGAAAAGTGAAGAATTGAAAAAGGAATTAGAGTCAATGGATGGCTATGATACCTGCAACTGGACAATCTTGCGAGCTAGCATGATGGAACTCTGGGGAGGGGTAATTAAGAAAATCCGTTACACACTCAAAGACCTTTATAATTTAATTGATTTCTGCCAGAAGAAAGGCGGGGTCAAAACAATTAATGACTTTAAAACTTATCAGTCAAAGTTCATGATGATAACAAAGTATTTAGTCAGAAACGAACATATTAATAACGAGACCAGTGTCTCTCACCTATTTTTCTTAGCATTCTCAGTAGACATACAAACCAGCATTAACAGAGAATTGGTCAAAGCAGACCTCATACCCACTGGAAAGGATGGTTATAATAAACCCCCTCTTTTGGCAGATGTTATTGATGTGGCCGAAGATGAAATCCGAGCTAGATCCATAAATGCATTTGCTGCAAGTGGTTTTGCTGAAGCCAATCACATGATGCAGAGGAGTCTGGATCAGAAGAAAGGTGATGGCAAAAAGCGTGAGAAGATGGTAGAGGAAAATCCTCCCGAAATGCTGCAAAAACAGTTTGATAACTTGGCAAAAGCCATTGAAACACTTACTGGAAAATTGGAAAATCAACCAACTACAGAATATTCCCGTGGAAACGAACGACCAACTGGACAACTTTATGATCCCCGGCCCTGTGCCTACTGTCATAGGGAAGGACATTCAACTTACACCTGTTATGAGGCTCAAAAGGATGAAAAAGAAGGAATAGTCAAGCGGGATGGGCGTGACTTCTGTCTTCCAAATGGCGACAAAATCCCATGGAATCCTTCCAGACCAATTCGAACTGTAGTAGCAACCAATGCTGCTAAACCAAAACCTCAGATCAACTCAGTTTTCAGGATTAATTACCCTACTTCATCAGAAGTCAGAAGAGAAAATCAGGAAGAAATTGAATATATAACTTCTTTCCACAAAATTGAATGGGAACCACCTCGAGTAGGATCCTCCAGTGCTAAGAAAATAAAACTTGAATCTAATGCAGCAACAACTCGAGCAGAAGCGCTCTGTGGACGGCGCAAACCTCCAGCCGAAAAGGACAACTCAGCAATGGACGTAGATCAAACCGATGAACTTGAAGAAATCATACAAGACATTCCAGCCACTCGGAAAACGCCAGGACAAATCTCGGACCCTCAAGGAAAATCATCGGCGCAAAAAGGAGACAGGACAGCAGAATCAGCACTGCTATCAGAATTGGACAACTTAAAAATACCAACTACTTTTTCACAACTCACGTCAATTTCACCAACATATGCTCAAGAGGTTATCAAGAAACTCCAGAAACGACTCCCGGAACATCAAAATTCAAAATTAACCTATGTAAAAGAAAACACACTAGCCCCAAAGGTATCAGCATCAATGATTCTCAACATGAATGAAGAGGATCGGGAGTATAATTGCTTCTACAGTTGTGCTCTAGGATACATTGACACTCATATATATGGAAGAAAGGTACAATTTATGATTGACTCAGGTTCCATGGTCAATGTAATTCCTAAGCAAGCTGCTATTGATCTTGACTTAGAATTTGTTGAGGTTGACATACCTATGAAGGGTATTGGTGGTGATCGTTGTGACATCAAAGGAGTAGTAGAAAACTGCACCATTAGTATTGGTCGCTTTACAGGACCAGTACACCTGTTTGTCTCTCCACAAGCGCAAGACTGCATCCTTGGAAGACCTTTCTTATTTGATTATGATTGCACACTCAATTATCCCGGAACTGGCGAGTTACTATCTTTTCAAGGTGATAGCAGACGGCGTATAACTGTACCTATAGCAAAATTAGGCCACGGAAGAGGATGGAATCAGCTCAAAAATCTCAATTCTAATTCAATTCAAATACAAGTATTGGCCATGAATCTTAGTGTACATACTAAATGTGCATCATGTACATGTCTTCTTTAGTAGCTAACCTCAACCAGTGAGTTTTAATAACTGAAAAACTAAAAAAAAAGGGCCTTAATAAAAAAACGCGGTTTTTCCGCGTTTTGACGCGGTTTTAACGCGCCGCAGCACACGCGGTTTCCGTGTTTAGACGCGGTTTTATTAATTAATTTTTTACCGCTTATTTTTCGAGTTTTTTTGAATTTTTAAAATTGTTTCCTATGTTTTAAAGCGTGCAGAATTTAATGGTAAAAACCATTTTTCATAAAAATGAGTTTTGATTATTAATTTTTTTTTTCCACTTATTTTTCAATTAAATGTTTACATACATGTTTCTACCTCATTTTTTTATGCTTTTTTGAAATTTTAAATTTATTTCCTAGGTTTCAATGTGTGTAGAATTTAATGGTGTAATCCAAATTTTTCAAAACTCAATGGTTCATTTTTAATACTGAAATTAGACACATTTTTTCACTTAAATTTCTACAGGTTAATTTTCATTCTTTTTTGACATTTTAAATTTTTTTCCTACACTTGAAGACATGGTTAAAATGATGGTAAAACTCATTTTGGATCAAAATGAAAACTATATCTTGAATACTGCATTTGACATGTTTTTTTTATTTAATTCTCCACTTTTTCACTTGATTGTTTGCATTAATTTTTTTACCTTACTTTTTATGCTTTTTTGAAATTTTAAATTTGTTTCCTACATTTAAAAGTGTTTAGAATTTAATGGTAACATTCCATTCCCGTAAAACTCAACAGTTCATACTGAATACTGTAATCAGCCTCAAAATTCAATTAATTCTTAAGAGCTTAATTTTCATTATTTTTTGACATTTTTAATTTGTTTCCTACACTTTCAGACATGTATAGAATTATGGTAACAATGAATTTGCATCAAAGTGAAAACTATATCTTAAATACTGCATTTGATGTGTTTATTTAATTAATTCTTACACACTTAATTATCCTTATTTTATGGAATTTCAAGTTCATTTCCTACACTTTGAAAGGTTTTGGATTTGATGGCTGTATTCATTTTGCATTCAAATAAAATCTGTATACAGTAAAAATTACGCAAGAAACGGGGTACACTCATGTATTATGATTGAAGCTTTTATTTTCAGGCAAATTGGAATTCACCATTAAGTTCTACACATTTCTGAATGTAGGAAATAAATTTAAAATTTCAAAAAATGATCAAAATTAAGCTGGTAAAAATCAATTTAAAAAACATGAAAAAAAACCTGTCCAACACAGTATTCAATAACAACCTTTTATTTTTATGTAAAATGGTTGTTACCATCATTTTATAAATGTCTTGAAGTGTAGGAAAAAAATTCAAAATGTCAAAAAAGAATCAAAATTAACCTGTAGAAATTTAAGTGAAAAAATGTGTCTAATTTCAGTATTAAAAATGAACCATTGAGTTTTGAAAAATTTGGATTACACCATTAAATTCTACACACATTAAAACCTAGGAAATAAATTTAAAATTTCAAAAAAGCATAAAAAATGAGGTAGAAACATGTATGTAAACATTTAATTGAAAAATAAGTGGAAAAAAAAAATTAATAATCAAAACTCATTTTTATGAAAAATGGTTTTTACCATTAAATTCTACACTCTTTAAAACATAGGAAACAATTTTAAAAATTCAAAAAAACTCGAAAAATAAGCGGTAAAAAATTAAATAAAAAACCGCGTCTAAACGCGGAAACCGCGTGTGCTGCGGCGCGTTAAAACCGCGTCAAAACGCGGAAAAACCGCGTTTTTTTATTAAGGCCCAAAAAAAAAAGTATGAATTTTTTTTCAGATTTTTTTTTTTTAGTTTTTTGCTTCTCAAGGCTCACTGGTGAAGATTTACCACTAAAACGTTTATGGGCAGGATTCACATTCAGTATGTACATGTCCTGATGTGGCAACTATCCAGATATCACATCTGATGGTCATTCAAAGTGTTTGTATACATTTTTACGTTTTGGTTACCCACCTCTGTAGGGGGTTTCCTGGGTCCTGTCCGCACGCCAACCTGCTGGGGGACTGCCCGCGCAGAGGGTTGGAGTGCGGACCCGCACTCCAATTTCAATTGGGGTGTGGTCCCACACTCCCTTCAGAAAGGGAGTGTGGGAGTGTGTGTGCGAAGGGGGGTGGAGTGTGGTTATCACTCCCCTAGCAGCCACCCTCTGGGCAGTAGTGTTTCAGTTTGATATTTTTCACTTGTTCCTTTTTCTCAAACCACAAGCTGGCCACTCCCCAGATTTTGTATATAAGGAGCCATGTTTTCCCCTCATCAGTTCTCTGACGTACTCAGTGTCAGCCGCCGTGATGCCAAGGAGTATCCCTTCTAGCTACACGTGGTGCAAAGACTTAAGATGTTAGAGTTTGAACTCTGGGACTAAAGAGTCTGGTGTGTAATTCCAACAATGAGTGGTAATTACAAGGTTATGAGATAGTAGAAATGAATAATTATATCAATAAATATTGATATAATTTAAACAGAGGGGCCTGATAAATCAGGGGTGGTTTAGTTCCCTCTAAGGTATTGTGCAAAAGCAGAGGATTTAGATACCTGATAACACTGGGGCCTGTTTAACAGGGGTGCTTTAAATCCCAGAAGATAGTAGTAAGAATCTCAAGAAAGAAGGGGGCATTATGTACTAATAAAGCCCCTTAAGTCTTGAGGTTCTGATAGACAGAGAACTAAAGCAAGAGACAATACATTACCAGACAGATACAAATGTTAAGCATTTGGGATGGTGGGTAATCTAAAGTGGGTTTTGATAATCTGAGGAATCCTTTTTTGAGGGGAAAGAGGGCTCTTTATATACCCATGGAGGCATCTGGGAGATCAGGGTCAACTTGTGGGGGAGTGATAACCACACTCCACCCCCCTTTGCACACACACTCCAACACTCCCTTCTCTGAAGGGAGTGTGGGACCGCACTCCAATCGAAATTGGAGTGTGGGTCCACACTCCAACAATCTGCAGGGGCAGTCCCCCAGCAGGTTGGAGTGCAGACCTGCACTCCAATTTTGATTGGAGTGCAGACCTGCACTCCAATTTTGATTGGAGTGCAGACCTGCACTCCAATTTTGATTGGAGTGCAGACCTGCACTCCAATTTTGATTGGAGTGCAGACCTGCACTCCAATTTTGATTGGAGTGTGGGCCCACACTCCCCTCAGAAGGGGAGTGTGGGAGTTTGGATGTGTACTTTTATATACATACTGGGCTATCCCATAAGACCCAGGCCTGGGTCCTATGGGATAGCCCAGGGGCTTGAGCCCATTGCCTCCCAGTCCCGCCCGGAAACATTCATACAGTCTTGAGCCCGGGAGGGGTTACTCCTGGCCTTGAGACCTTACATGGCTCAAGGCCAAGAGGAATTGCTCTTGGCCTGAGACTGTACAGTCTCTAGGTCGGCGAGGGATTCCTCTTCGACTGGAAGGGAAGACCCTCCCGATGGACAAGGTACTTGTACCTCGTCCATCGGAGGAGAGGCCTTCTGGTGGACCGTTGTAAGACTCAAAAAGTGATTGTAAGATCCTTTTTGCTGAATGGAGAAAGGGATGAAATGAGCTGCAAACTCTGCCTTTCTATATTATCAGAAAACAAGACCACCAAGGTAAGCTTGGCAGTTTGGTTGGTGATAATGGATTATGTTCAAAGATGGTTGTATAATTGTTGAAGGTTGATCTTGTTGTCCAAAGAATTGATTGAGCTGTTGATGTTGTTTCTCGTCTTGATACTTGTGGTCTTCCTTGATGCTGTATATGTATAATGTAATAGAGGTGGTTCTTGAACCCAAAGGGTCTGGGAGCACTATGCTTCAACCAGGACTGGAACAAAGGACTGGCTTTTCTGTGTAATGTTTGTGAAATGACTGTGTATATATTTCAATCTGTGAATTGTACTACTCATGAACTTCTTGTGTAATAAATATGTATAATCTGTGACAGGTGTCCCACCAAAAATGTGTACTGAGTGGGATGAGGAGGGAAACAACTGGCAGGCAGAGGCCTCCTTATATAGTAAATTATGAGGGATTTTAGCCCCAAGGGACCCCCTGTATGAGGCATTTTAGCTGCCCTATCCTTGAAAACCCTGAGGGATTTTGGCTAGACTATCTACAATGCATCCCTTTTATGTGTAAGCTGTAAGAAAGGAATTCATGTGTTCTGTGGCTGAATAAATGGGAATTTAACTGGTACAACTGGTGGCCAACTTGTGGTTCTGTAAGTACAAAAGGAATTCAATATGCAATAAAAGGAATTCAATATGAATAAAAGGAATTCAATATGCAATAAAAGGAATTCAATATGAATAAAAGGAATTCAATATGAATAAAAGGAATTCAATATGCAATATGCAATATACCCCCATGCAATATACCCTCCAGCTGAGTGCCTCTGATCCTGTGATTCTCCGTGTGACATCCTTGATTCCGCGTAACTTCTGATCCAGTAGAGATATGAAGGTGGTTCCAGTGAGTGACTAGGGGTTAAATTGGCCGTAGATTCCATTTCTGACATCCATTTGTCCATATCTTGATCCCCTCATTGATAAATAATAAAATTTTGAATTTTCTCCCTTCATACACAGGAATAATGACCACACCGTCGGGAGGGTTTCCTCCCGGCAAGCCGGCTTTTAAACCAGCTCGTCGGAAGGAATCCCTTCCAATGAGCTGGTCTGTGTACCACCTCGTTGGGAGGGGTTCCTCCCGGAGAGCTGGGTTTTAAACCAGCTCGTCGGAAGGGATTCCTTCCGACAAGCTGGTCTGTGTACCACCTCGTCGGGAGGAACCCCTCCCAACAAGGTGGTACACATACGCAGGGTTTCAACACGGTGAGGCTGGGAGGAGCCCCTCCC